GGCCCGGGTCGGGGGGGGGGGTGACACTGAGGGTTACGATCCGTTGCCGGTCACGAAAAAAGACAAAAAGGAAAAAAAAAAAAAAGAAATAGAAATTTATGGACCATTGTTACTTATTTTAAATGTAAATCATCTATTCTTTTTTCTGATTCTTCATTTCACCCTCAGGTTATGTTAATTTTGAACCCCAGAAACTAACAAAGTAAGAAGAAGGGGTAGGTATGAAAAGAATGATGTGCTTTCTTCATCAAGGGAGGAAGAACTTGGGTGACAACAGTGTACTGGGAGTAGTTTTGGCTGGTTTGGAAATTTGGGATTCTCTGAGTCTTCAAATCCTCCCAAGTATCACTCTTGATCAATTCCCTAATTTCACATAAGTCCAATATGACAGTGAATTCCAACAAAGTCATAATTCAGCAACCAGAGACTAAATCTCTGCGTTTGGCTTTAGGTCATCTGTGAGCCAATGATGCAGTAAGTTCAGAATTTCCAGTTTGAACTTGTTTTGCTTGAAACTCTCCATGAGTCTCAACATTTTACTTCCATGATCCTGCACAGCAGCAGCAGCAGCTCGTCAGTCACTGTAGCTTCATTCTCAGTGGTGCCTGATTTCAGATGATTGCAGGTGGTAAGTATGTGGTGTCCATCGAATGCCATGGTGTGCTACGTTCCCGAGAATAGAAACAGAAGACTCGCTCTCTTTCAGACCTCCTGGTATATTAATTTTAAAAACCACATTCCACTGGGAGTCTGTAGGCTATAATTCTCTTTTTAATGCCAATTACAGTATCAGTTTGGATTCGTTGGATCCAACAAACTAAATTCATTGGTTCCAGAACTAAATATAAATTTAGTTCTCACTAGTGAAAAAAAAATATTTTGGCAAGGAATACCAGACTCAAGAAAGGGTTTATGAACACAAATTCTTGATTCAGACTGGCTGGTTTGAAATTCCAGCCCCACATGTCCAATGACTAAGGCGCCCTTTCTGGTCCTGTTATTCATCTGTAAAACAGGAATAATAGTGTTTATCTCACAGGGTTGTTGAGATAATTAGAGTGGGCAAATTCTTGATTCAGACTGGCTGGTTTGAAATTCCAGCCCCACATGTCCAATGACTAAGGCACCCTTTCTGGTCCTGTTATTCATCTGTAAAACAGGAATAATAGTGTTTATCTCACAGGGTTGTTGAGATAATTAGAGTGGGTTATATGTGTAAAATATTTAGCTTAAGGTAAGCATCTTTATTCAGAATTTGCTATAGTTATTTTGCTTGTTGAAAAACCTTCTGTGAGAAAGCACAGTGGGCAGGGTATCACTGGAGATCCCGTAGTAGGCAGTCTTTTACTAGGAGGTGGGGGAAGGATGACCCCATTTGTGGGCCACATGATCTCCTTCTGGTGAGACGAGGAGTCGGGCACCATGGAGAGTCCCAATAGGCCATGTGAAATAGAAGGGTTAAATTCCCTAAGCAAAAGTGGTGTGCAGTTAGTTACTGGGGAAGGTTGAAAGCATACTGGGCAGGTAAAAATAACTGATGTCCTCCACAACATAAATATTTAATTTTTTGTAAAACGATACCTTGGAAAAAATTATCTGACCTATTTCTCTTCCTCTGAGTAGGGCTGATTATGAATCATCTTAAGAATAGAGCTTGCTGTTCTCTTCTTAAGCATATATTAAGATGATGACAAATACACATCTTTCAACAGTTGGCATGGTGGACAATCAGTGAATCGTCCTTAATTTCCAGTTACCAGATATGTTGTTGCAGCATAGTTCAGCTTCCGCATGGTCCTGATTCTCTAGTCCACTATATGAAATAGTGAACATATCTTCTTAACATTCTCCCCATAGCTACTTTCACCTCCTTGTTCTGCAGGCTGTAGATGAGAGGATTCAGCATGGGAGTGACCACACTGTACTGTAAAGGGAAGATCATCTCCAGGGGAGAACCTGAGGGTGGCAAGAGATAGCTGAGGAAACCAGAGCCATAGAACAAGACCACAGTAGTGAGGTGGGAGGAACAGGTGGAGAAGGCCTTCCTTCTGCCTAAGGTGGAGCTGATGCTCAGGATGGTGGAGACAATGCGGGTATAAGAAAAGAGGATCAAGATGAATGTTCCAAAGAAATGCAAAACAGAGGAGCAGAGCAGGAGTGTAAAGTTGGTAGCGGTATTAGAGCAAGACAAAGGGAAGAGAGAAGACAGCTCACAGCTGAAGTGGGGAATAGTTTGGTCCCCACAAAAGTCTAAATTGACAGCCATGAGGATATTGATGAGAGCATCAACAAAGGCCAGACCCCAGGAGCCCCACACCAGCCCAGCACAGAGCTGGTTACTCATCGCTCGGCCATAGAGCAGAGGAGAGCCGATGGCTACATAGCGGTCATAGGCCATCACAGCCAGCAGACAGGCCTCAGTGCCACCAGTGGCAAACAGAAAGAAGGCCTGAGCCAAACAGCTCTCTACAAAGATGCTTTTGCTTTCAGAAAGTAGATTCTCCAGCATCTTGGGAACTGTAACAGATGAATGGCAGAGGTCCAGAAAAGACAGTTGTCCCAAGAAGAAATACATGGGAGTGTGGAGGTGAGAATCAGCCCTGATCACCAGCAGCATCACCAGGTTCCCCATCAGGGTCAGGAGGTAAATCACCAGAAACAGCATGAAAAGCGGAACCTGGGTCTGAGGGTCAGCAGAAAGACCGAGAAGGATGAACTCACCGAATATGCTGTGGTTGCCCATAGGGATAAAAAGCAGCTCTTCCCTGGGAATCTGAGAAACAACATCAAAACTCCTTTTGCATTTCTCAGCCACCCCAAGCCTTAGCCCTCTTGCCCGTGTACAACATTTCGCGACTGTACTAGAAACCATATTCACATATTTCAAAGCTATCTTCATCATCATCGTGATAATATTGATATTCCTTGGTGATGGTCCATCATCCCTCTACCAATTCCTATGTAATTTTGTGGACTTTAGTTGTATGCTTCTACAGGTTTCTTTCATTTTTAGGATGGGTGTTAATACAAAAACATTTTGTATGCTCAAGGGGAATAGAGAAAGAATTTGTTGAGGAGGGAGAGTAAGAAGTTAATAGCAGAAACAGAGTCTAAAGAAAGGGAAAATGAATAGGATCCAGAGCACAGGTGGATTGTTGTTATATGGAAGGAGGGGCCCTTTATATATTGTAAATGGGAGGGAAGGTAGACAAAGTGGCAACAGTGGCAGCTAGCTTGATACATTTTATTGCAGAATATGAGAGACTTTCCATCTAATTGCTGCAAAGTTTTTGATGTGGTATGAGGTGAGATCGTGCACAGAGTCTGTCTGTCTTTGCGGGGAGGGCTATGTTTTCAGTAAGGTGGTGGTAGTGAGGGATTTTGATGACACAAGGACACAAAACTCAGGTACATCCAGTGGAAGGTTAATTTACTGAGGAAGTGAAGTAGGATTATCTGGTAATAGACTTGCCCATTTGAGATTTTAAGACCTATTTGGAAGGACACAAAACTCAGGTACATCCAGTGGAAGGTTAATTTACTGAGGAAGTGAAGTAGGATTAACTGGTAATAGACTTGCCCATTTGAGATTTTAAGACCTATTTGGAAAAGTATGCAATTATCTCCAATAGTATTTAGCTGCTTAAGCCCATGTGTGGAGCAGACAGATATTTGGTTTTAAATGGGGTTGAGTTTTTTCCAGGTATATGCAGTGATAAAGAAAAAAATAGGTATAGAAGTAAAGCATCTTTGCAAAGTGAATGAATCGTGTAAACAAGGCTGTGCAAGGAATTAAACGGAACATATAGCGGATTACGGCTAGGGTAATAGGAGTGAAGTCATAGGTTTCTGTTTGAAAAAGTTGCTTCTGTAAGGAAACTGGGGTAAGCAAGTTTTAAATTTAGAAGATAGTGGTTAGATAGAGGGGTGAATTAAATTCAGGTTTTGTAGGCGTCTTACAAGTACTGATGATAACAAAGTGATGGGTGCTATTGTGGGAGAAGAGGCTAGGACGAGGTGGAAGATTCAGTCTCTGGCACAATGAAGGACAAATTTTAGGGTGCCAAGTTAGGGTAGTGAGGATCTTCCTTTTTAAAAAAATTTTACTTTAGGGCCGGCCCGGTGGCGCACTGGAGAGTGCGCCACTTGGAAGTGTGGCGGGACTCCCGCCGAGGGTTCGGATTCCATGTGGAGACAGGTTCCCGCTCACTAGCTGGGCGTGGTACAGGCGCAACACTGAGGGTTGCGATCCCGTTGCCGGTCCCA